TGCATAGTAACATACTAATAAAATTATACAATATAAAGCAAAAACACTCCTCCCTGCTGCTGCACTACAAAAAAATGTGCAAACAGTCGCATATTACTACAGATAGTCTCTGTCTAGAAATAACTGGCAACATTTTTTATCACGAAGAAAACCGTAGGTGCATTTGTGCGAGTACGTTCACTGACTGTCAGTGTTCTAGCCTGTCGGCACCTATTCAACCGGTGACCCCAATACGTCACGTATCCTTAAGTTCATTAGTTGTGACCAATGCTATTCTTAGCAAAAACAGCGGGCTACACTGCCGTTACTCAACATTGATGAGGCAAAGTTGTTCATGATAAATTTGGGGATCCCGACGTTCATGCAGCCACTTAACCCCCACAGTAGCATATATATTAGTGAGGGATAGAGGGACCGAGGTATGAGAAAGTGAATGAACGTACTGCACCTATTCACCTTCACAAGTAAATACATTTCAACAAGAACTCCTGAAGAATCAGTACACACTCGTAGCCGTAACACAGTCAATGAAGTGAAGAAACCAGAGGTGCCGTAAAACTGATACACCGAAGTGATTTAATTGGGTTGGGCATTCCCTGGCTGGGAATCAAGATTCTACTGCTAATAAGCTTTATCAAACAGAAAACAACTGTACCATCAGCTCTATATAAGTTACAAACCAGTTACAACACGCTGGCTACTTGGTTTAAAAATTTATCGAGATCTGTTAGTTATCACCTTGATTTCGTCAGCATGGAAAACTAGTAGGTACCCCAGCATAGAAATCATCCACATTTAAACATCAAAGAAAATATCGCCGCCTGATAACAGGATAAGAAATTCGAGATACACGTCTGTTGCCCTTCCTCTCTCCCACTCTCTCTTGCTCTCGCTCTTTCTCCCTCTCTCTCTCTCTCTCTCTCTCACATACATATACTCGCGCTCTCTCTCTCTCTCTCTCTCGCTCTCTCGCTCTCTCTCTCTCTCGCTCTCTCTCTCGATTACACGCGCTCACACTCTCTCTCTACTTTAATCGACCTTCCCCTTCCCTTGCTGTGGCGCTATTTACCTCCATCGGGACCTGTTTTTCCCTCAGCGCTACCTCTCTGTCCAGTCTATCTTCTTCTCTTGCTACTTTTGCTGCCGCTTGTAGGGTACCGGGGTTCTGCGCTATTATTTTCCTCCTAATCGCCTTCTTAGCCAATCCATCTATGAAGGATTCTACTAACGTCCCCGCATTCTCCCTTGTTTGCCGGATGCCAAAAATCATATGCCGAACCTGCTGTAGTCATTAGGAGGTCTGCATTCGACCCCAGCCCAGCGCCTATTCCCTCTAACTGTCTCTCATATTCTCTCAATTTTATGCTATCTGCCTTCGCATCTCCCGTAAATTTCCTTATTTCTCGTCGTATCAATCTCATCTCTTATCTCCCTTACCACCGGACTAAGTGCCTGTCCCATAATCTGTACGATATCCCCCATATTTATCTCTTGCGCCATTGTACGCCCTAGCTCTAGCGTCCCCCAAAATAGCTTACTTCAAACCCCTTACTGCCCGTTACCTGGCCCTACGGAGCCGGAGGCGGCCATTTCGCGAGTATAATATATAACAGGAGTAGATAATAGGGAAGGAGTGTGACATCAATAAACAAGGAAAATTCGTCATTTACTAGCCTTATAATACCTACGATTTACTAGGCGTAAATCATCCAACTTGAGCTCAAATCATACACAGTACATTCGCCTAGCATCGTGCGAAATCGTTTCCTCATATACACCCGCAATCCGGAGATACAGACTAAAACGTACGATACGATTATTCATTGTTTGGCCATAAATCCAAGTCCATTGCCCGCCTCTATTCAAACAAAAGGCAGCTACGAACGCGCTATTGCTAACTCGGCGGGCATGTGGTTCGCTGGGAAATTAGGCATCAATTCTCGGCGAGATAACCTTTGACCCGGTACACAGCTACATACCGGCGTACAGCAGCCCCCACTGCACATACCTGGCATGCCCCCACGCACGCACGCCAACCGCAATCAGCAGCAGCTGATCGGGCTCAAATCTCCCAGCGAGCCACATTGCCCGCCGAGTTAGCAATAGCGCGTTAGTAGCTGCCTTTTGTTTGAATAGAGGCGGGCAATGGACTTGGATTGATGGCCAAAGAATGGATAATCGTGTCGAACGTTTTAGTCTGTATCTCGGATTGGCGGTGTATATGAGAAACGATTTCGCACGATGCTAGCGAATGTACTGTGTACGATTTGAGCTCAGTTGGATGAGTTACCGTAGTAAATCGTAGGTATTTTAAGTCTAGTAAATGACGAATTTCTTTTGTTTATTGATGTCACACTCCTTCCCTATTATCTACTCCTGATATATATATGATATATAATATATATATATATATAGCGACAGAGAGAGCGAATTTTTATTTCTGATAGATGTTAATTAAAAGCAATTCCACTTGAGTAAAGATCATGCAGTTTTGATGCTCTGTGTTTTAAAAGCAAATAAAAAAGATATTTATAAAAAATAATATTATTAGTTTCAATATTTGACATATTAAAAGCAATACCGTCACTGAATTCTGCTGTATTTAGCATAGACACACGTACGCATGCACGCACGCACGCACGCACGCACGCACGCACACGCACACGCACACGCACACGCACATTTATTTATTTATTTGTTTGTTTGTTTATTTATCTCGTTTTTTATTTTTTATGACATTTCATCCTCCACCAGAAATTTTAACGGGGCTACCGACACGTTTGATGATAAAGTTTGTAACTAACCAGTTTATAACTATACTAAAGACGTACGGTAAACGTAAAGCATATAATGACTAGCGTTTGTTGCTGGCGTTTTATTGAATCAACTGGCAACCATATCAAAATGCAAGTGATAAACATTAAAATGTTTTGAGCAAGCGTTTGTAAACATCTTGTAACCATCATATAACCTTATTACTGTATTAACGTTTGGCGAACGTTAAAAACATTTTTCCGACGTTTTTATTGAAACAATTTATAACCATACCAAAAACGTTAAATAATCGTTAATAAAAACGTTTCTCGCAAACGTTTGTCATGAACCTACATATAACCTTGTTATTAACGTCCGCCCATCATCGTCGCGGGGTTGTCTCGGCCTCCTTGTTAACTGTGGGCTGGGCCGCCTGCGCGTGGATGACCCAATCCCACGTTCGGTAAGGTTTTCTCTCTGCGCCGATCGCCTTCTGCTCACGGTTCTCATCAGCTTGGCATTCCCCGCCCGGCAGTCAGTGCTGTCAGCTGTCCTTCCCGGTTCGTTGTCGGTGAGCCCATCCTCCACGGCTCCCTGTTCTGCACCAAGCGCAGAACGCCTCCTGGGACTACTCGGCAACCCCTTCTGCAACAGTCTGGTCATCTTCTGACCATCGCTGCAGCCGTCTCCTGCCGTCAGACGTCTGGCAAACTCTCATCTCTTCTTCTACCTTTCTATCACTCGGATGTTGGAACCCGTAGTACTGTGGCGGCCGTGCCGGTCGCCGCCGTCGCGTCTCCTGGTCGCCCATACTGGCCCATCCGTGCTGCCGGTACTCACGGTCCATCCTGCCCATCGTCTTCTCGCCGTCTTCCACGGCTCTCTTTTCTCTGCGGGCACCTCCCGCCGAGGCTCGTGGGCATCGGTCATTCTCTGACTGCTGCGGTGCGAGCAAAGGTGGCAAGGCCGTGGAAGCTTCCATGCTGCCTTGACCTGACTCTTCATCATCAGTGTCGGCCGTCCAGCGGTCGACGGAAATCCCACTTGTTCCTTCCACGGTTTCCTGCCCTTCCTCCTCGTCTGCGTCCGCCGTTTGGGCGGGGGAAAACCCGGTTGGCCTCGTCCAGCTTCCCCTTCTGGGAGGCGCCCTCGTGGGCACCGTCCTTCCCTTCGTCGGTCCCTCTTCCGTCGCCTGGATCCATCTCAGCGAACCCCCGTCTTTCACGACGAGGTACGGGCCCGTCCAAGGCCGGCCTAACTTCACATCTTCGGGCGGGTAAAAGTACCACACCCAGGTCGTCAGGAGCGATGGTTGGACACGCTTGTCGTAGCCTTGCTTCTGGCGTTCGGCCGCACGACCGAGGTTCTTCCTCGCTCGCTCATGGGCGTCCCGGGTGGCGCCGCGTACCCACTCAACGTACTCGTTGGGGCACGCCGGGATGTCACTGCCTCAGCATCCCCGTCATCTCTGCCTCAGTATCCCCGTCATCTCTGCTTCAGCATCCCCGTCATCTCAGGCTGTGCTGTGGGTGGAGGAGGTAGATCCGCTGGTATTTCCGCGACGCACTGTTCCGACGTTATGTCGTCGGCGTGGACCATTCTTTGGTCGGCGGGCATCTCGCTTGTCTCCTCAGCGGATTCCTGCCTATCCTCCACTACGTCCTCACGTGGCTCAGCCTCCTCGTACTCTCTGCCTCAGCATCCCCGTCATCTCTGCTTCAGCATCCCCGTCATCTCTGACTGTGCTGTGGGTGGAGGAGGTAGATCCGCTGGGATTTCCGCGACGCACTGTTCCGACGTTATGTCGTCGGCGCGGACCATTCCTTAGTCGGCGGGCATCTCACTTATCTCCTCAGCGGGTTCCTGCCTATCCTCCACTACGCCCTCACGTGGCTCGTCGCACCAACTCCACGTATTCTGCCGCCGGCGCGTGCTTTGCCGCCGCCGCCGCCAGCTCGACCCCGCGCGCTACCAGGGCGGCGTCGGCGTCTCTTCCAGTTGAGCAGTTCTGTCTCGAGGGTCACCGCTTCGGCATTGATAAAGTCGAGCTCTACCTGCTCTGCCTCGACGAGATGGTTGCCTTGCTCGCCTTCCCCGGAGGTCTCTGCTTCCTCTCGCAGCAGAGACAGCTCCCTCGCCGCCTCGGCGTGTCTCGCTACAGTGCCCTCTAGCACCGCCTCCCTCTCGACGATGGAGAAATCCTTCTCCTTCAAGCGGCTCTCCAGCGTGCTCACAGTGGCTTCCTTCTCACTTAGATCCTTCTACAGGCCGGACAGCGAGGCTTCCTTCTCACTCAGCTCCTTCTGCAGGCCGGACAGCGAGGCTTCTTTCTCGCTCAGATTCTTCTGCAGGCAGGACAGCGAAGCTTCTTTCTCGCTCAGATTCTTCTGCAGGCAGGACAGCGAGGCTTCTTTCTCGCTCAGATTCTTCTGCAGGCAGGACAGCGAGGCTCCCTTCTCATGCAGCTCCTCCTGCAGGCAGGACAGCGCGGCTTCCTTCTCGCTCAGCTTCTCCTGCAGGCAGAACAGCGAGGCTTCCTTCTCATGCAGCTCCTCCTGCAGGCAGGACAGCGCGGCTTCCTTCTCATGCAGCACCTCCTCGAAGCTGGTTAAGTAGCTCGTCCTTTAGGCTAGAAACAGTAGCTTCTTTTTCGTGCAGCTCTTCTTGGAAGCTGCTCAGGGAGACGTCCTTTCCGCTGAGCACTTCCTCTAGAAGACAGTGCTCCTCGAGAACCTCCTGCATGTCGTGCAGCGTCGGCTTCCGACGGTCGCCGCCACCGTGTGGCACCACCTCATCAGCCGATTCGTCTGCACTTGACAAGGATTGATCGCTCTCATAATACAGGCGTGAGGGAGCGGAGGTGGTGGACGTGACGCTCTCTGCATCCGAAACTGCCTTCGCGTCACGCATGCCTGTCACCACCTTACGCTTCTTGCCTTTCTTCTTTGCCCTCTGAAACTTCGCCAGCAGCTCACGACCGGCTGCCAACTTTCGTTTTCGCTCCTCGTGTCCCATCTCTAACACTCTCCTCTGAAACTTCGCCAGCAGCACACGACCGGCTGCCAACTTTCGTTTTCGCTCTTCGTGTTCCATCTCTAACACACCATATCTTCTTTTCTCCTCCTTCCACTACTGCGCGGACAAATGGTGTCTGTTTGGTCTCATTCAACGCCCTGCATCTTCATCTCGGCCCCGACTGTCTGGCGTGTCATTTATCATCTCGCCATTACGTTGCAATCCTGGTCACGGCACCAGTGTAACGGTTTTGCTATCTCTTTACCTATTCTCTCTACCTAACAGACTACTACCATTGGCCGTGGTATACGTCCGGTTGCCGTTGTGTCTGCTCACCCTGACAGGGCCGTTACTCCCTGTCCTTTACGAGTTCGATCACAAGGATCGCGAGGAGGCAGAGGCAGCCAAACACCCGAGCGCCCAGAAAAAGGGGGGGGAGTTTCGCTCGTTCAGTGAGAGATACGGAAGGGGGGATGCCGGTCACAAAGTGAGAAGTAATAAGTAGAAGTGTTTATTATTTATTAGGTAATGCTTGCTATACCCTTGCGTCACACATCTACCTCGTTGGGTCGCCAGGCAGTTGCTCCAGCAGCTTGGCGTTGATGTCATCCACGGCCAAATTCTTGGGAGCAAGGTTGGCTCGCTCGCTCAGCCAGTCTTGGTCTTGGTAGCGGAGGTGAAGGTTTGGGAAGACTTTGGTGATCAGCTGGGTGATGTCCGCCGCTGATTTGCCGAATGGCAGCCTGACTTGGCCATCAGCTGTGGTGATGAGTCCGCCATTGCCGACCTCCAGCAGTTGCTGAGAGAAGCGGCCAGCTTCTTCATCGCCGCTGAGCTGCACCCTCATGTTGGTCTTCAGGCTGTGGCGGTTCACCTTGCTCCAGAGGTAGGACGACTTGATGCAGGCATTGACAGCATCTGCTCTTGTTCCTTTTCTTTTCTTTTCTTTTCTTTTACTTTTCTTTTCTTTTCTGCTGCGCTAGGATTCCTCTTTACTTTTCTGTTGCAGTGCGCTACTATTTTTATGTTCCGCGTATGAAATTGAGATTCGATTCCGTACTTTCGGATGGATCCATCATTTTCGGGTTTGAAAAATATTTTTTTTGTCAAATTTTTAGCCAAAAAGTGGCCAAAAATCATATTTACCTACAAAGTGGACCGAAAAAGTGGAGTTCCAAAAAAAATGAAATCTCTTTTTCTCTTTTTTTCTCTTATTTTTCCCTTTTTGTGCAAATTTTTTTGGCCTAAAATGGTCGTCGCGTCATGCTGATTCAGAATATATATGGTGTCCTATAGGTGTCACCTCTTACGGGTCTCGAGAAGATAGACGGACAGACAGACAGACAGATAGACAGACAGACAGACAGATCCGGCCATTTATGTAGGAGATTCGCACGCGCGGTACTATATGTAGGGAAAGAAAAAAGATGCCATGTGAGGCTGATGCATCAAAGAAAAAATAAATTAGCATATGGATTATGTAGAGAATTTAGAGCTGTTGGCACAGTCATTATTCTGGCAATTATATGCAAGCACGTGTGATTACATATAAAATGAATTTACATTACAGACGTAATTAGACCGTCTCCCTCCTCTCAACACATTGGAGTTAGCTGTGGATTAAGCGCACAAACTTTATAAAACGGGCCACGTGTGGGTTCAAACTGTAAACGGATATGTTCACTGAATACTGAACTGTATGCAGCTAAACATTAATACCAAGCAAGTTAGATGCAAGTATGGCAGCAAGCATATGACACCAAGCATCCACGTAGCCACGTACGGATATACGGTGGGCATATGTTTCTATGACACTGACTGATCGCGTGACGTCAGTGTACGTCACGCACGAACTCGGCTATCTCCGATGTTGAATGCATGTACGCATACAGCCTGCTGATGGTGCTGGTGGTTGCGCATGCATCAGACTTTCCGTATATCAAAGAATGATGCAAAAACCCTAACCCTAACCCTAACCCTAATTACATTTAATTAACACTAATAAATTTTATTTATTTAAAAAAATAATAATGTAAAATTGTAAATAAATCATGTAAATATTTGCGTTAATTGGGAAAAAATAGTTAAATTGATAAACATAAAAAATAAAGTAACGGCCGTCGGCGTACGAGCGCGGCTATCCATCGTTATTGGTTTGATGCATTATGGATGTGCTATATATGCATACATGGATGTGCGTGCGTGATTGGTCTATGGTGGTGGATAGCCACTGACGTCACACTGACGTACACTGACATCACGCGATCAGTCCGTGTCATGGAAACATATATCTACCCAGAGGCGTGTTCAGGAGAGCGAGCGCTCGATGCGAACGCTCGATGAACGAACGCAGCGCCTCCTGAACGACACACGAGCGCTCGCTGTGCGCTCGCTTGTGCGCTCGCTCGATCAAAGATGGCGGCCCCCATGGAGGGTTACTCAGCAGATTTTAATCGCGAGAGAACAAGTACTGTTAAACGAATTAGTAGTCCTAAGATTACAACAAACGTTTGTT